GCTTAGGCAGGATGGACCCGTCCCATGAATCCAAGCCCCCCATAACACACTAACTCCCCCTGCATGTCTGCTCTCCTCGGGGTGGGGATGGGGGTGTGGAGAAGGACCCTCCCCGAGAGGGGAATGCAGGGTTAAGGATCTGGCCCCCCTTACGTGCTGCCAAGCCCCACAGCTCCCACTGGAGCTGTTGGCTCTGCCGGCTCCCACAGCAACTGGGAGGGCCTGATCCTGCCCCGTGCTGACCCTCTTTAGGTGGGGAAGGGGAGGTCAGTGAGAGCTGGGTCCCCGCTGGGGTGCCAGGACTCCAGCCCCACCGTGGGGCATCTCTGCCTGCCATGGGGCCAGGACAGGGCAGTAATATCCCACTTTCTTTCTGCCCACAGAAGGGACAAACTCTTTCCCTGAGGCTGCAGGAAAATACCAAGCCCAAGAGCCCGAGGAGAATCTCCTCCAGGAGATTGTCACAGTGGCAGAAAAGCTGGAGGAGCTGCAGCTGCCCAGAGCACCAGTGGAGCTTGAGTCGCGAGGGGCTATTTACGCCGTCCCTTTCTTTGAGGACGCTGAGCTGGAAAAGCCGAGCCCGCCCCCTGAAGACACACCAGGGCCAGGGGCCCGGCACCCCCCACTAGATACCTCCGTGTCCTCAGGTCACCCCACCCCTGCCTCCCCTTTCCCCACGGCCCCAGCCATCCCCGAGGCAGGTGTCCCACTTAGCTGTGGTGCAAAGCTGGGGAGCCCCTGCCCTGCGGAGGAGGACGGGGGGACAGGGACACGGACTGTCCCACACAGCTTGAGCAGCTGCTGTGGCCGTGCCAGGGCTGGGACACAGAGATGAACAGCAGGCACAGAGGCACCGGGATCGCAAGGGGAGGTTGGAGGCACTCGTGGGTGCCCAGGTCACCCCTGCTGTCCCCGTCCCTCCAGCGGAGGGAGCCCCCGTGGCCGCTGCACTGGTGTCTTGGTGTAGGGCTGTGCACTGGCGTGGGGACACCCGTTGTGTCCCTCCCTCAGCCAGGGTCCAGCGGGCAGGGTCGGTGCTGGACCGTAGCTTAGCAGAGGAAGAAGCTGGACAGGGGCGCTGGCAGCTGGAGGGAAAGGAGGCCAGGCACAGCGGTGAGGGGCTGAGCATGGCCCCTGCCACAGGGAACCCAGGGCTGTGGCCAAACCAGAGCTGTCAGCCGTGCCGGTTCAGAGGAGAGAGTGTCACGCTGGCTCGGGGCCACTTCCATCTCCCCGCGCACCTTTGTGCTGGCATCTCCCCCCCACCTCGGCTCTGCCCACCGGGGGAGGATCGGCAGCGCTGGCAGGAGATGCCGGAGCCCGCGGCCCCTTGATCTGGCTCTGGCGTCTCACTGCCTTTCTGCCTTGCCCTTTGCAGAGGAAGAAGAGGGAGCAGCGCCGGGCAGGGGCCCTGGCAGCACATCGGCAGAGAGCCCGGGCGGAGGGCGAGACCCCAGCCTGGAGCCGGACGGAGCCCCCGGCACAGAGACACTCTCCATGGCCCCTCGGCTGGGCGCAGAGGGACCCACCGATGCCCCAGCAGGTGACACGGAGCCTCCCGAGGGCTTTCCCCGGCCGCCCAGCCCTGCCGCCCCCACACACCGCCCCGGCCGCCCGCGGGACTCCATGGGGCGGCCGGCCCACACTGCCAGCCCCGGGGCACCTGGGCACCGCGTGCCATCGCCAACCAGTGCCGCTTCTGCCACCTCGACAGAGCGCCGAGAGCCTGCTGGGACCTCGCGGCGCGGCCACAAGCCCGGCGGGACGAGAAGCTCCGTCCCCGCCGCCGAAGACGCCGAGCTCTCCGGAGACGTGGTCGAAAGCCCCGGGGCTTCCCCGCTGCCCGCTGCGCCCTCGCAGCCGCAGGAGGAGGGAGAGGAGCTGTCGGGGGCCCCGTGGTTCCCCTCACCCGCGGCCCCGGGGGACGAGAGCACCGTCCCCGCAGCAGAGGCGACGGCGGTGCCTGGAGGCAGCCGCGCACCAGCCCTGGAAGGAGAGGAGGCTGTGCCGCGACCCCCGGGCGCTGACCGAGGGATGCCTGCTGCACCTTCCGAGGAGGAGGAGGAGGAGGAGGAGGAAGAGCAACCTGCTCCCTCCGTTGCAACCGTGGAGGGTTTCCTTGCAGCCGTTCCTGGAGAACCAGGTGGGACCCGCAGGGATGGCCTCACCTCTCCCCGTACCGGCAGCTCTGGGGTGACCCTGGCGGGGACCCCGTTGGGGGACCCGGCCCCCAGCACGGTTGTGCCCCTGCCCGCCCTCCCCACGGAGCGGGCCAGCGTCGGGGCAGGCGCCAGCTCGGCCGGGGGTCCCCGCCGTGCCGCCCTCGCCCTCGGGGCAGCCCTCTTGGCTGCTTTTTGGCAATAGAGAAAACCAACACCTTTCCTTCACGCTGTGCTTCCCTCTGTCTGTCCGTCCGTCTGTCTCTCCTCTCTCTCTCTCTCTCTCTCTCTCTCCTCCTCAGCTGGGTAAGGGAAGGTTACAGGTCCGGAGAAGCACATATTTGTCAAACAAATTGGTCCGAGCTCTGCATGCACTTAAAAATCTCTTCTACTTCTGTGAAGTGTTTTAATGACTGTTTCCATGAAAAAGCCCAATAAGCAAAAGGCGGCCCCAGCCCCTGCTCTGACTAACCGTGGTACTAATAAAGGGAATTAAAAGCTTTCTAGAACAAGCATCTCGGCGAGCTCTTCCCTTCGTCCTTGCGCCTGCTGCCCACGCGCCCCTCCCACTGACGAACTAATCCCCCACCCTCTGGCTCCGTGAGTCCCTGGGAGTGGGGTGGATGGGACCCCTTCCCCCCCGTGAGGCCTGAGGGGGTATGGCTGCTTTGCACGCTCCATGTACCCCCCCCCCGGGGCTGGGTCACGCCACGCTGCCCCGGGAGGAGGGGCAAGGGCTGCATGGCATGAGCAGAGGGAAACAGGGGCACCGAGGGGTCGTGGGGTGCAGAGACCCACCAAAAAAAACCCTGCCTTGGGCAGCCTTTGGTGGCCAAGCACCCCAGAACTGCTGCAGTCCCCCCAGGGAGCGGCTTCCCCCTCACCCCAGCCCTGGTCCCCCCACGGGAGGGCTGAGATGGGTGAGTGGTGGGCGAATGAACTGCTGCAGGTGGGTGTCACCCACCCAGACCCATCCTCTGTCCCAGCCCCAGTGCAGTGCACAGCAGCCAAGGCCCTACCCCCCTGCTCCCTGCAAGGGCAGCTGCAGCAGAGGGGACCGTGTGAGGTCCCTTCCCCCCTGCTCTGGCAGTGCCCTGCCCCGTCCCGTGGAACGAGGGAGGCTCCCTGGAGGGTGGCCAGACCTTGTGGGGTGGTTGCCCTTGCCCTGGCAAGGAGAGATGCCCAGGAAGAGCCACCCATGTGATGTTAGGGCCCTAAATTTCCCATCCCTCTCCGTTCCCCGGTCTGCTTGGGACGAGCTGGACGTCCCGGGTGAGCTGCTGGCACCTTGTGTGGCGGTGATGGTGCCTGGGGGCGGGTGAGGGTGACAGCATCACCCTTCTCCCGTCTCCACCGCGCCAAGGACCGTGAAATGGGGCGTCATTAGGATGAAGGGGATCAAGGACTTCCAGTCCTCGCTCTGTGCTGGCACTGGCACCTTCATCACACCCTGAGCTGGGCTGGGAGCACACAGAGTGCTCCGGTGCATTAATGACCGTAACGGGCTGCTGGGGACACACTGGCTGAGTTATCAGCCCTGGCTAGGCTGAAGGTGACACCAGAGGGACAGGCGTGTGGCTCACCTCGCTGGCCAGGTTGAGGACGTGCGGCCAGGACGTGCCCAAGGGTTTATCCTTGGCGTGGTCCCCTCCCAAAATACAACTGCTGCGTCACCCCAGGGGAAAGCGGGAGCTGTGCCCGGGCAGCAGGAGCGGGCCAGGGGCTGGCACAGCAGCCAGACCACTGATATGGAGGATGAGAGCATCCAGCTCATGACTCTGTGCCCTGAGGGGAGGTCAAAGCCCCAAGTCTGGTCAGCTCTGGGCAGGGGCAGCTGAGCTGGGTCCGTCCCATGGACAAAGGGCAGTGTGGGACAGTTCTGGGGACATCACCATGCACCCAAGTCCTTCATCTGCTCCACCTTTGGTGGCCCCAGGGGCCGGCTCAAAGACCTGGTGGCTGTGGGACACTGCAGGGACAAGGCTCTGGCGATGCTGGGCACTGACAAGGTCCCTGAGCCCCCGCGGTGAGGACGGCTGCATGTGCCTTGCAGGTGGCTGCATCCCCAACCCCTGCCTGAACGGAGGGACCTGCATAGAGGACGACACCCACCTCACCTGCCTGTGCCTGCCTGGCTACGGAGGCAGCAGCTGTGAAAGACGTGAGTCCCCCAGGGCCACACCAGGTCACCCCTGTCCAGGTCCTGCTGCCATCCCAGCTGCTGAACCAGCGGCTCAGGAGAAGTAAAAATGGGGAGATCAGGAGTCTGGGGTGAGTTGGGATCCATCACCCTGACCCTCTGCTCTCTCCCTCCTTGCTCCCCGGCTGGGGCACAGCGCTGAGGAGGTGCAGCCCTGGCTGGGACAGCTTCCAGGGAGCCTGTTACAAGCACTTCTCCACCCGGCGGAGCTGGGAGGATGCAGAGACCCAGTGCAGACATTACGGGGGACACCTGGCCACCATCCTGACCCCTGAAGAGCAGGACTTCATTAACGGTACGTGACATCACCCCAGACCCTGCTGCACCCCCCTGGATCCGCTGCTCCACGACCCTCAGTGCTGGCCTGCAAGTTTGGAACGTTGAGATGAAAAAGGAGCCAAGAGCTGAGGCACAGCCTGGGCCTTTCAGAGCTGATGGGGGGGTGGATGCACAGGTAGATAGGTACATGGATAGATATGGGAGCAGACTGGCTCAGTCTGGGGCCCCTCATGACAAGAAAGGCATTGAGGGGCTGCAGTGGGACCACAGAAGGGGAACAGAGCTGGGGAAGGGTCTGGAGCACCAGGAGCAGCTGCAGGAGCTGGGAGGGCTCAGCCTGGAGTAAAGGAGGTTCAGGGGGGACCTTCTCACTCTCTCCAACTCCCTGACAGGAGGGGGGAGCTGGGTGGGGGTCGGGCTCCTCTCCCAGAGAACAACAGGACCAGAGGAAATGGCTTCAATTGCACCAGGAGAGGTTTAGGTTGGATATTGGGAAACCTTCTTCACGGAAGGCTGGTTGGGCACTGGCACAGGCTGCCGCACTCTGCAGGGATTTAACAGGCATGTGGATGTGGCACTTGGGGACATGGGTTAGTGGTGGCCTTGGCAGTGCTGGGGAATGGTCAGACTTGGTGGTCTTGGAGAGCTTTTCCAACCTAAACAATTCCATGACCCAGTGAGAAGTGGACAGACCGGCAGAGGGTTGGACATGTGCAAGTAAATTTGAAGGCAAAACAACCTGTCAGAAAGCAGCTGTGGAGGGACAGGGGGGAAGTCAGGGGGAGACAGATCAGGGACAAGAATGGTGGGGATAGGACAGAGAGCAAGGAGGCCTGGAGGGACTTGAGGGTGAAGGACAAGAGGGACAGGGAGAGAACTCACAGGGAGCTGCAGGGACAGGTGGGGACAGGTATGGACAGGAAAGGAGCTTGCAGGGCCAGGCAAGGACTGGCCAGACCAGAAAAGGGACCGGCAGAGCCAGGTGGGGACCTGCAGGGACAGGCAAGGGCAGGCAGAGAGCTGCAGGGACAGGTAGTGACAGGCAGAGCCAGGTGGGGACCTGCAGGGCCGGGTGGGGACAGGCAGGGACCTGCAAAGACATGTGGGAACCTGCAGGAACAGAAAGCGACCGGCAGGGACAGGCGGGTACCGGCAGGGACATGTGGGGACAGGCAGGGACCGGCGGGGTCCCGGGTCAATGCCGCCCTCTCCCGGCCAGCCCAGTCCCTCAGCTCCGGGCTACGGGCCGGGGAGGGTCCCGCTGTGTCCCTTTCGGGGCTCCCCTTGTCCCCAGATCTCCCATCCCCCTCCTACTGCAAGGCGAGAGACACCTCTGCTTCCCCGCACTCATCCCCAGACCCCAAATCTCCCCCGAATTCAGCCTCCAGCACCCTTCAGCCCCCTCCTGCCAGGTGGTGCTGGGCTGCCTGGGTGTGTTCCCGCCTCCAACACAGCTCCTGCCCCCCAGACCAGTACAGGGAATACCAGTGGATCGGCTTGAACGACCGGACCATCGAGGGGGATTTCCAGTGGTCTGACGGGAGCCCTTTGGTAAGTCAAGCTTGGTAAGCCCTTATATGCCCTTGTGTCCCCTCACCCCGCCTGGCAGCTTGTCACCCTTCTCCTGCACTGGGGTCCAACCCTGGGGCCAGGATTTGAAACCCCTCAGCAGGGCTGAGAATCCTCAGGGGAGCCAGACCCCGGGATTTGGGGTGCCGAGGCCACGCCAAGGGGCGTGGAGGTGTCACCTCGTTCCTGGTGGGGATGTCACAGCCAGGAGGCTGCAGACGGGTGTGTGCTGGC